GACGGTTTTTCTGAATGGAGAGCTAAACGAGGAAATCTACATGCAACAGCTAGATGGCTTTGTGATAGATGGTCAGGAAAGAAAGGTTGTAGGTTGCTGAAATCTTTATATGGCCTGAAGCAAGCACCTAAGCAATGGCATGATAAGTTTAATACAACTCTGACATCTGTTGGTTTCGTTGTTAATGAGGCTGACAAATGTGTATACTATCGCCATGGTGGGGGCGAAGGAGTTATAATGTGCTTGTATGTTGATGGCATACTGATATTCGAAACCAACCTCAAAGTCATTGAGGAGGTCAAGTCGTTTCTGTCTCAGAACTTTGAGATGAACGACCTTGGTGTGGCTGATGTTATCTTGAACATCAAGCTATTGAGAGATAATGAGGGTGGGATTACACTTCTGCAATCCCACTATGTTGAGAAGGTGTTGAGTCATTTTGGATATTCGGACTGCACACCATCTCAAACACCATATGATCCTAGTGTGTTGATTCGAAAGTCCAAAGGCATGGCTATAGACCAATTGAGATACTCTCAAATCATTGGTTCACTGATGTACCTAGCAAGCGCAACGAGGCCTGACATCGCGTTTGATGTGAGCAAACTGAGCCGGTTTGTTTCCAAACTGGGTGATGTACATTGGCATGTTGTTGAAAGAGTTATGCGCTATCTGAAGGGTACTATGAACTATGGACTTCACTATACCGGATACCTGTCGGTACTTGAAGGGTATAGTGACGCGAATTGGATCTCTGATACTGATGAGATGAAGGCCACAACTGGGTATATGTTTAATCTTGGAGGTGCCGCTGTTTCCTGGAATTCTTGCAAGCAAATGATCTTAACGAGATCGACAATAGAAGCAGAATTAACAGCATTAGACACATCTGGTATCGAAGCAGGATGGCTTCGAGATCTTTTGATGGACTTGCCAGTGGTTGGTAAACCGGTTCCGGCTATCCTTATGAACTATGACAATCAGACTATCATCACTAAGGTGAAGAGTTCAAAGGACAATATGAAGTCCAACAAACACATAAGAATGAGATTAAAAGCTGTCAGAAAATTAAGAAACTCCAGAGTGATAACGTTGGAATATGTCCAAACAGCTAAGAATCTGGCAGATCCCTTCACAAAAGGGTTATCCCGTGTGGTGATAGATAATGCATCGAGGGAGATGGGTATGAGACCCACATGAGTTACCATGGTAGTAACCCAACCTATGTGATCGGAGATCCCGTGAAGTAGGACCTGGGAAAACAAGCTAGTGGTTAACTAAGGAGAGTATTTTAACTAACCCACTCCGTTGGAGATGCACAACTCTCGGTAACTGTATGGCAGGTTGACTTTTGTCTTAATGTGTTCCAAGGCTTGTAAAAGCAAGATGCTATCCTACAGAGCGATCTTTGGAGGAACACACCTATATGAGCCTGACTACTGGTCATAGTCTATGAGATTAGGGTGATCTCTAGTAAGTTTATGAACGGGCCAGGTGTGACCAATATGCTCCACCCGAGGGGTCAGCCTTCGGCAGCCTAGTACTGGTAAGACACTTGGTGAAACTCCTTCACGCCAAATTGACAATTCAAGGCCTAGTCCATTGTTCAGTTGTGGAGGAGTGTAGCTATTTGTTCTTGATGGATGTTCAACCTTAACGGGTCTCCACTGAAAATACTGGTATATCAAAACAGAGTTTGAAACAGAGGACAACACCATGGGCCTTTGGGATCTGGTGGAGGATTGCTGAATATTAGTTGGGCTATAGGCCCACTTAACAATTTCAGAAAAATACCTAAGGGCCCATGTTGTCAATTGAGTGGTGGGAATTTTAGTCCCACATGGCTAGTTGAGAGAGATGTACACCAACTTATAAGGTCATAAGGTGAGCTCTTCTCCCATTAGTATGAGTTGGTGTGAAGGAAGGAGAGGTGTTCCACACGCGCGCTCCTCCTCCGCCGTCCGCCTCGTCACGACGCGCGCCTCGGGTTGTGGGAATGAGCCGAGCCGATGCAATGTTTTACCGGTCAAAATTGGAGAGTCCATTACAGACACAAAACGAATGTGAGACGTCATATTCATTGCGGAAATGAAAACATCCATAATAAATACGTTTTATTGTGGAGATGAAAACTTCTGTAATTAAACGTGTTTTATGGAGATGAAACGTCTGTAATTAAATGGTTTTATTGCTGGACCGTTCTCCTACCCGGCTGCTATATATATGAGGCATGGCAGCTCAACCACATACACTTCACACCTCCACTGCTCCCTGGTCGTTCCTTTCACTACTGCTGCCCTCGGTGATCACATCCCGTCTACCGCGTACACGGCTGACGGGAGAGCAGGTTTCCGAAACCCCGCTTCTCCAGATCCTGTACGGGAGAGAGGCGATTAGGTTTGTGGGGAGCGTCTCCTATGCGACTGCTCGCCTCGGTTCAACTACTTCATCTACGTCGACTACTTCTGCGTCACCTTCGTCTTCACCATGAGCACTGACGTCGATCGTGCGGCTGCCGAGAAGGCCGCTACGGACAAGAGGATCGCCGACGAGGCCGACGCCTCCGCTGCTGCTATGGCCGACTGGCCTACTGGAGGGTATAACACATTTACACCGCTCATGTTTACTTTCATGTGTGCAGTACTAGTGGTTAGCATAGATGTTTCTATTATCTGCCTAGTACGTGCGTACATCATCAAAATTCAGTATGTCATTAGCACTGCCTATGTCATATTTATGATTTATTATTGGATATTAAATTAATCGAACAATTGCTTAATTTCTCAACAATCATCACCTCCCACAATGTCGCTCGATCCCATTACTTAGTAGGTTCGCAAACAATTGTAAAACAGGTTTGGAGCACTCCAAATGCCACATTCACATTCTTGTTTTGTAACAAAGTTGGTTTTTTTTGTTATCTATTAGATCGGAGATGGTCTTGAGCCTTGACAAAGGTCAGATACCATCATAAAGATAGTACCTCATGGTGTGCTCATTCCAATTGATGGTATAGTTGCATGCAGGAGCTTCACCCGCATACAACTCCACAAGCAATGGGACCGATGCAGCATGTTGATGACATTTTGTGACTCGCATGCCAAAGAAAAAGTGTCAAGTCCAAACGTCTTGTGATACAACTACTTCAAGATTGATGGCGAACTTTTTATGACGGCCCTGGTATTGACCTTGTTGAGCATATGGGTACTTCTTCCATTTTCAGTGCATGTAATCGAGAGATCCGAGCATGCCTGGGAACCCTCTTGATTCTCCTAATACCTTCAGCCTTATTGTGTCTTTGGTATTTGGATCTCTCAAGTACTCCAATACAAACTCCTTGACCACTACTACAACAAATCTGACCATGGTTTGGAGGCATGTGCTCTCAGACATGCTGAGGTACTCATCTCACTGGTCTATGGTTGTGCCATACGTAAGCATCCACATAGCAGTCGTGCACATCTGGAGACCAGAGAACCCAATGCGGCCAACGACATCCCTCTTCAGCTTCAAGTAATCATTAGAAGCCCTAACACCTTCCATGATGTGCAAGAAGAATGGTCCATGCATCCGATATCGACATTGGAAATAGTTGTCGAATAGTGCATCCGGGGCAAAGTACTCATCAGGGATATCAACATGCCCACGTGTCTGACGCCGATTCAACACTCGATGTCCCTTTTTTGAACCCTTGAAGTTGAGAACATGCTCCTCCGCACACTCCATTTGTTCAAGAATCGCCATCAATGTCGCAGTCCCATCCTCATCTTCGTCATCATCAAATGAAGACAAATCCATGAACTCGACATAGAAGTACTCCTTGTTTAAATCCATTGTGTTTGCTTCAGAGTAAACAATGAGAACCTCAAAAAATTGCACTATGGCATTTGTTCTGACAATTGTCGGGCGTGGTGCCTTATATGGCATCCGTAGGGGCAAAGGGTACCTGAGCGGTGACCATATCCGGGGTAGTACATCGGTGGCAGCCGAGAAGGCCTGGGTGACGTCCAGGGGGTCCTGCAAGGCTTGACAATGTGGGGAGTCTATATATACGACGGCAGTGGCGGTCTCCGTGAGCAGAGATTGAGAGCGGAGGAGGGAATTATTGTGAAAAATACGGCTATGAGTGGGGTTTAGATGGGACATTGGTGTTAGAGTCCGATCGACATGGTCGACGTCCAGAGTTTCCCGAAGCTCCCACCTATTTGGGGTCCGAGGGATTCTGGATGTCTGGACTAGTCCGGCCCAATTTGGTGAGTCGCTTTGGATGCCTAGAAAGTTCCCGGATCATCCGGTCTGGACATTTGGGGGTGATCTGGTGAGTCCCCTTGGAGATGCCCTAAGTGGGCCATGGACTTGCTAATCCTCACTAATCCCCTCCCTGAATTTCAGGGTGTGAGCCTCCCATTCCCTTCTCTTTCGCATGCCACCTCATCATGTAGCTTTTATTTTGTAGATTGGTCTCTAGTTTTTTTTAGGGGTAGTAGATCGGTCTCTAGGTGTAGCAAAGTTCTTATCCAAGTGAGTGGAGGCCCTTTTATTTATAGGATATAGTTTTGGAAAATACATGGGATCCACTGGTCATGTTACATCGGTGCCCTTGCCTTTATTGAGTTTTTGACATGCCAGGGGAAGGGAGATAAACAGCCAAGGCTCCTAATCACCCTGTTATTGTTTCATGCGCTTGTTGTTCTTGCAAATTCTGTAGGTGTGCTAGTTCAGTGTTTCATATGTGAACTTCCGCATATAAGATCAAGATCAATATTTCTAGCACAGCTGTAAAGTAATTTATATCTGAATAAACTTCATCCAAAATTGCTAATTAGTCTACCACAGGCTACAAGCCTACACCTATGCATAAATAAATCATTAATAAAAAAACTATGTATAGGTAAATCAAGTTAACGACGAGCAACAAGACTTATCAAGCGACTTCTCTACGTACGTAATCGAATATCAGAGCGAGTGATCCAGATCGTTGCCTGCACATGGCCGTCCCTCTAGCTATCACGTCGATGATGAGAAGAGAAGATGCCGTCCATGCCGACGCTACCGCCGGAGTTGAACATGACGTCGGCAAGGTCCAGCGCCGGGTAATCCGTGTCCCTTGCTGCGGTGGACACGCTCGTCTGCATGCCGGCGCTACTCCCCCCGCCGGCACCGGAGCCCGCCACAACGCCCTGGAAGCTTGCCGGCATCCAGCCGACGCCGAGGTGCATTGATGTCGACACGGCCGCCTGCTCGGTGGGCGCCATGAAGTGGTCCGCAGGGGCCAGGCCGGAGCCTGTCGCGGCGGTCGGAGAGTTGGTAGCGGTGGCTGTGGCGGTGGCGGTGGGAAAGTTGAGCAGCGGGGTGGTGGAGGTGAGGCAGCTGTGGCTGCCGCAGTAGGTGACCTCGTACATGAAGGGGTCGTCGTCCAGGCGCTGCACCTTCTTCTTGGCGTCGCACCCGTAGTAGTTCTTGTGGGTGCACCGGTAGTAGCTCCTGTTGGTTACATCATGCATGCAGTTTGATCATCACAAACTCAGATTGTCATGTATGCTATGCAAAGCCTATTAATTTGCAAACATGCACATACTAGTTTGCACGAGTGTTGGGTTAAGTAATTAAGTACTCCTTTTTGGTCAAACTGAGAGCAAAATTTTAGTTGAAGTATAGTGTGCTACTGAAATCTGCATTCATAGTTCTGGAAGTGTGTACTCAGTGACTGTGTGTACTACACTCTCTTACCAGAAATGTCCAGTCTTCCATGAAACTACGGGGTTGCTGACTAATCAGGCAGTCAATATATTTACTGTTGCTGCTCTCCCAACGTAATCGTTGGGGTGGAGAAACCGGAAAATTTTGGAACAGACTGATTGAAATGTGAATCAGTCAATTGGCCCCGCATAGACGAAAGTTGATAAATAGTTATTTGTGTAGAAGTGTATACTCTAGCCAATACAACTAAAAAATCGATCTGATGAAAAAATAAGACAATACATTTATATGTCATCAGTTTGGTTACCTTGGGAACCTAGAGCCGAGGATGTCCTTCTGGCCGTACTTGCGCCACGTGTAACCGTCGTCCGGTGGAAGCTCGATGTTGCCCATCCGGTGTGCCGGCACCGATATCGTCTCCCTCTGCCCGCTGTCCCTCCTAAAAAACACATTATTTGATTAATACTATGAATTAGTATGAATTAGTAGTCTAGGAAACTCAAACGACTTAACATTTTTTGCACAAACTAGCTAGCTAGGTCTTTCATCATGGGGTCGGCTATCGAACATCGGGGTAAAAAAATGATTTAATTGAATTTCCGGCAATATCCAACAGACCACGATCTTCTTCTTCCCCTTCAACATCTGCTCGCCGACCCGCCCTCCCTTTTCTCTAACCCCGACATGATGTTGTCGTCAGTGACCTCCCCCTCCAAGGTACCTGAATCCTTCAACGCTCGGCCTCGCCGGCATCCCAACTTCTCGCTGGTGCTAGCCGTGCGAGTGTCGTCTCTGCCTCGGAGGCTGCACATATTCGACTGACGCGTGAAATGATTTCAAGCACAGGAAGAACAAACAACACGACGAGCAATGCTACACGCATGGATGATTTTTTACGGGATCAACGGAGTGGTTTTGTTGGCATGTTTTTATTGGATAGCAGTAAGGTGAGGGCTCCCACCCTGGGGGGGGGGGGGGTAGAAGATGATTAGTTAGAAAATACCCCGTATAACCTCTGTGAGTAAAGAATTTTCACAACACGACTAATAAAGTCATGGATCCTCACCGAGTCTTATACTAATCCACCCATATACCCGACATAATTAAAAGTGCATGCTTCGGGTCGCCGTGTAAACCCTCGTGTCGTCTACCTTCCCCGTAGCGCCCGGCGACTTGGCCAGAAATTCGCCCCTACGTCGCTGTCGCAGAGAACATTCGCTGCGCGCGCGGGGCTACGAAAGTTTCCGTGCCATGACGTGGTAAAAGGTCCCCATGTTTGAACCGTTGACCCCCAAAATCTAACGACGACCGAGTGACCGACAGTGCCGTACGTGGTACGTACGGGCTCACGCACGTACCTCCTCCTGCCCTGCCGTGGCTGGGCCGTCGGCGGAGACCTGGACGGCGCCAGCCTCCTCACCGGGCCGCCGGAGGTGCCCGCGACGTCCGCCGCCGCGCGCACCGCGTGCGCTGGCGCTCGCGCACCGGCCGGCATGTGGAATGGCTCCAGCAGATGAGTTGGAGTCTCCCCGAGAAGCTGGCTGGCGCCGGCTGCTTCCTCCGTGCTGCGCAGGCGCAGGAGGTCCAGCGGCCCGCCGCCGTCGAGTGGGCGCGCAGCCGCGGCCACGTTCACGGCGCCCACGCCGTAGTTCTGCAGCAAGCGTATGGCCGTGTTGTAGGCGCGGACAATGCCGTGGCAGCGCGCGGCGAGGTAGGCCGGGTCGTTCTGGGCCGCCGGGAGGTCGCCCATGAGCTCCCCGGCGAGCCGGAAGGCGTCGCCGATCTGCGACAGCACGTCGTCCATCCCTCCTGGCAGGTCGCCGCCGTGGATCGCGATGCCTTCCCTTCCACGACGATCCAGGTAGCCGAGCAGTGGTGCAAACGGAGGACCACGTGAGTGCGGCGCAAGGACGTGCATGAAATTGCGCTGAGATTTCGTGCTACGAGGTTGAGAGCAAAGTGGGTGCAAGATTTTGTGTCACGGCATGTACGGGTAGAGACGAGTTATATATAAGTGAGGGCACCACCGCACCATAAGTAGTAGGAAGCAGCGTGGCACGTACTTGGTTAGCAGACCAGGGCGGGTACCGGAGAAAGAACGGGTCATTGGTCAGTGAGGGACTAGATCAATTTACTACTAGCTTAATGTTGGCCATTGCTGGTCGGGTGGTCATTTTCTCACTACGGCTTGCATGGTTTGGGTCATGAGGAAGACCTTGAAAGTTGAAAGGGGCATTCCAACACATGGAAGGGTCTTAGTTCCAGCATCTAGTTTTCTTCACTCCTTTGGCCAAGGACTTCTCGAAGGTGTTTTTGTTGTTCAGCCTTTTTCGTTTGTATAAGATTCGCGCAAACTAAAAAGACTGACTGACGCGTGGACGACAACACCACTAGCATATCTGTGATCTTTGTTTAGAACGAAGGAGCAAGCAGCGCCCAGGCTTTCAACTAATAAAGTCCAAACCAACACCAGACTGATAACATAAGTTGTACATAATTTTAACACGAATTAAACTTATAATATATTTTCTGAGCGAGCTCTGAAAGGATAAAGAAACACAGAAATAGAGGTGCTCAACAACAGGTACACAGACTTGAGAATGACAACAAAAGACAGTAAGTGACAGCTATGGAAACTGTTTTTTTTTCAATAAAAGGGGTTTCCCCCGGCTTCACCTTTTTTTGCTCATGAAAAGCAAACCACACAACGTCAGTTAAACAAGCATATATGATGTACCTGGGTGGCAAGCCAGGTTCTAGGCACGGATTGTTTTCAATTCGGTCAGCTTATTTTCTGGAATGAAATCATCAACATGCATGGGAGAAACTGCAACATACAAATGGAATGGGATGACCCACACTTAATCCCATTTGGTATAACTAGTAATAATGTACGTGCAATGCACGTTTATATTAGGTAGGATATTAGCTGCACGTTATATTAGGTAAGATATATCTGTTGCACGTTGGTATTTGGTAAGATATTAATTACTTTTTTCACGGGAATGGTAGGATATTAATTGCATGGCAAATTACATGGGATAGCATTGAGTCAAAACGTGTTTATAACTAATGGTAGTGGTGGGTAATTAGAGCGTTAAACATGTTTGGTGCTCAACATTGAGTCAAAACGGGTTTATAACCAATGGTAGTGGTGGGTAATTAGAGCATTGAGTCAAAACGTGTTTATAACCAATGGTAGTGGTGGGTAATTAGAGCGTTAAACATGTTTGGTGCTCAACATTGGAGTGATTTGAACCGCTAGATAACATGATTTGACGGTCAAGATGCTTTGGATCTGCCCCTTTGATCTTTTTATATTGGTACTAGTAAGTATGCACGTGCAACACACGTATCATAGAGTTATGAAATAGAGAGAAAATTGGATCGCAGGAAGGGGAGCGGTTGCATAAGTGTCGAGGGAGGAGGATTGATTATTGCGACGGCCATGCCTATAGGTTCCCTTGGTATTTCCAAGCTAATTTTAGTGACTCCTTTGATTATGTTGGACTATTGTAGAAAAGATTATTGGAAACTTTTTTTATGTGTAAAATCGGTAATCAATAATTGGAAAGCATGTCCGTGCTGGATGGAAGAGGTAAAATAAATTTCCAAGGTAAGACCTGAAGCTTCCTTGAACTAAATGTTGGTTATGCAAGCAGTCAAAGTTAGGATTTAGCGTGTCGGTTATGCACTCTGAAGAATGTAAATCTTTGAACTTGTCTATCAAGTCAAGGATACATGATCCAACTATTGACATACTTTATAAAATCTGTCAGAACACTATCTATAGTATCCAACTATTGACATACTTTATAAAATCTGTCAGAACACTATCTATAGTAAATATAGCGAAAGCAAGCACATGTAAGCACAATGTCTGAAAATGTCAAACTGTGTACAAGTCAATTTTACACTAAAAGTAGAAATAGATTTTATGCACTCTAAATGACAGAATCTACCAACAAATCTTAAAGGCATGGACTGGCAATATATATTTGTGAACCGAACATGACATAAACTGGCAATATAACCTCACGCCAAAGATTGGAAATAAATATGATGGTACATGACATTAACATTAAAAGTAATGTTAAAGAAATTTCAAGACATCTGACAAAAATAGAATATCACATTAACCAATAGTCTACCCTGTTTTTCACTCTAATTCAAGGGAAATAAACATTTTTTTACATGACAGGGAAGACAAATGACACATGCTCCTTTTCAGTGGCAAAATAATTTCACTCCTTAAGGTAAGTGTTGGAAACATGCACATCTTATTTGACACCTGAACAAGCGATTGGATTGCTTCCAGTATTACAGGGACCAAAGGTCATGAAACATCCCTGTGAATCCCATATCACATCAATATGGATTTTCCCTTTCATATCTGCATTGTGTAAAGTTGGATTAGATTGTAATATTTATATGTAATTTAGCAAGAGTTCTACCAAACCATTAACTATAGAATCCATATTATTTCTTAGGTAAACATTGATATTATTTAGGAGTGAAAGACATATGCTAAGTATGGGGCTCTGCTCGTACAACAGTACCACATACGAACCAGCTGCACCGAGCTTAATTACTATTGTTCCGCTTGCTGCGAAGGGATTCCCATCTTAACTGGATGGAGATTACGTGTGTGGTGTACAAATTCGCAGGCCCGGATCAATCAGGTGGATCCGCTACTTAGCGGGAGGTACGTCCAATCTCCCCAGAGCGAGCATGCGACAAAATGGAGCTGCGATGGGATCAGGCTTCAATTATTTGCCTGGCGCTGATCAGGCATTTTGTTCCTCGAAAATGGATTTGATCCAAGATGAATTGATGGTCGATCTCTGAACCCCTGTTCCAGACAAGTTTGAGTAATTAACAGTACATGTGAAGGCATAGGAGACATGCTCGTACCTGTCCTGGCCGCGTAGCGCTGCAGGCCCACGTCGCCGTCGTTCCTCTGGACGAGAAGACCGGGAGAGTTAAACCAAGAGTCGAGTTGTCAAAGACTTCGACGAACACTCAAACGGGTGAACGAAAAGAAGGAAGTGGCGGAAGTCAAGAATGATCAGAATCAAGGTCGGGGTCTTATTGATCCTGTGATCCAAACAAACAGGGAAAGGAGCGATTTGGTTTCCACGTTATTCTCTGCCTACATGCGAACATTGGCCAGACCTTTTTCTTTTTTTCTTTTATGTACGCAGTACACAAGGCTGAGTTTCAAAAAAAAACATGATGGCGTAGATCATGGTAATTATTGCTAATTGATATTTTCCTTCTATGTATGCAGCAGACAAGGCCGAGTTTCAAAAAAAATATGATGGCCTAGATCATGGAAATTCTTGCTAATTGATATGATTAAAATAGGCCTAGGTTGGAGCGAGATCGTGGTAATTATTGCGTAATTATGATGGCGTAGATCATGGTAATTATTGCTAATTGATTATGCTAAATGATGTGATACAACATTGAGGCAATCCGGTCCATTGAGAGATGGCGGATGTATGGCTGAGATATAATGTTTCTGCCACAACTCGATTGTTTAATAGTAGTATAGATATAGATATATAGATATATAGATATTTGGAGGCTATCTTGCCCGACAAAGGTTGATTTTTTTTGTTTGGCGTACGTTGGCCTCCCATGTCATGCTACCCTTGCCAATAGGCATTTTAAAGTTTCACCCAAACGCCCCTCTTGCTGTGCTGCCCCAAAGCACTTGTTGTTTCTATGTAAAAATACATCTAGGGGGTTTGGAAAAGGATATAGATGGCCAAAATTATTAATAGATCCTGTGAGGTTGACTGTGTTGGTGAGGCGGTGCAGGAATTCTTACCTCTATTGTTGTACCAGGATTTCTCCAGTTTGGGTCTTTTGAATGCTCAGGAGATGATCATCATTACGACCTGGTATTTATGGTGGGTAAGTCGAGTTTATGGAGGGGTAGTTCAAGATGCTTTTCCTATAACGACAAACTATGTTATCGCGTCCTATCCAAAGGGTACCATGAGAAGAGAGGGGTGGATCTGCTCCCCTTGGGTTTTGTCAAACTTAACGCTGATGCTTCTTTTGATCAATACTTGCTTAGGGGTACGGCAGGAACGGTCTTGAGGGATCATAAAGGAAACTTCGTCGCTGGAGGGAATGGAAATATCAAGGGATGTGCAGACATCCTTGCGGCTGAAGCTTTGGCGCTTAGATTCGGTCTTGCCCTTGCACAAAAGGGTAGGATGCAACCGACTCGTTACTAATTTTGACAACCTAGAGGTCATTGACACAATGAAAAAGAGTGGTCATTCTTAGGGAGTGGCGACGATTTTCGGCGATTGCTATCATTATTTTTGTGATTTTGCTATAGCTAGGTTCGAGCATCGTAATAGGGAGGCAAATAAAGTTGTTTTACGGGTTTGCTAGGTTGGCTAGAATTTTTTTGACGTTGGATTGATTTGAGGAACCACCGATTAAACTGCACCCTTCCTCATAAACGATGTAATTGTCATTTCCAATGAATAAGTTTTGGGTGTTTTGTTTCAAAAAAAGAAAAGGTTCTAGGTACCCTAAAGAGTTTTACAACCAAACTTATTACACGAAAGGGGGATGCTAAAGAAAAGGAAGTACATCAAGAGCAACATGTTTCATCAATCGCATATGAACCAGATGGTGCTAGAGAACAGGATTTGACGACTTTCCTCATCAACCGGATTCACCAGAAGAACTAACCCCAAGAAATTCGTCGAAGGTTGAGGGTTTCGTACTGCCAAATCAAAAGTAAGGTGGCTGGCTAATCTTGCCCATCGTGTCATTCCCACTCTAGTTCTGTCCCCTCTCTCCAGATCCTTCACCGAAGTGGTGGCTATGGGCTCCTGCGACGAGCGATGCGCCTCCAAGCGCCCCATGGAGCCCCTGGATCCGGAAGCG